ACTGGATTTGAAAATATGCATGTTCTTGGTTATATTTAGAAAAGCCTATTTCTAAATCACAAACTTATTATTTTTATTTTCTTGTACTGTTTTTAAAGTGTTCAGAAAATACAATAAAAATCAGCAATTCATCCTTTTCTTGGGCTGCGAATCACACAGTCCCTCATGATTCGATACAATACACAATACCAGGTTTGTGATATGATATTATCCCAATAAAGCAATATATGCAATGATCGATATATATTGACGATAATCCATAGCACTATTTTTAAAGAATCAAATATATTTTAAGAACAGCATTTCTTCCAAACTAAATATCAAAACAGTGATTATGTTAAATGTAGTTTTGTTTCTTTGAACAAGCAACACAATTGTAGCTCTGTCATAAAACTGTTGTAAAATAAACTGATGGTGATATAACGTTGCAGCAGCCCATAATATCGATACTGTATCACCAAATTGAATATCATGATATACTGCTATTTCGATATTTTAGCACTCTCCTATTTTCTTGTAAATTCACAAACTGAGACCAGCAAAGCATTCTCCTTGGCAGAAGTAATGATAGCTTAGAGAAGACCTATTTGTACACGCACACACACACACAAACACACACACACACATACACACACATACACACACATACAGACGATACATGGAGTGTCCACCGAGCAGACAGTGACAGGTCAGCCCACGGGCTAAAACACAGGGCTGGACTACATAAACATGAGTCTTCTTTCTTTGGTCCAGCGTTGCACTTGTCTTGGAGAGTCCTGACAGGTCGATTGGGAGCATGGCTGGGTGCTCTTCTTTGAGATATGTGTCGTGTGTGCATTTTCGTGTGTGTAAGGGTGAGCATTTATCACATTGTGGGGATCTGTATTAACGTTTAAGTGATGGAGACCGGTCTACCTTACAGGGACAAAAATCAGGTTCCCAATGAAAAGGGTGGGCAAATGATGAAATGAAAATCTAAAAATGTTATGGGATTATAGTATATTTATAGTTAGGCTGAGTTCCTCTCTCTAACAACAAACACTTTGTTCCACGTTGTGGTCACGTGGTAATACAGGAAGTGCTCCACTGTGTATTTAAACTTCAGTAGAATCATGTGGACAATTTTAGCCCTGGAATTGCCAATCTCTATTGAACAAAAGGTAAAAGGAGCTGTTAACTTGAAAACTCCCACTGCATGCTGTCACAAAGTGGAACAGAGCATTTTGAGCTTTGGAGATGTAAACAGCCTAATGACAGAGGGTTACTCAAGCATGTGTAAATGAAACAAACACAACTCTTGGTATGTTTTTGAGAAGGTAACAACATTCTAACATGGCTTAAAGCTCACAAGAATCAATTTTGTGTAATGTAGGACATTTATGGCTATAATTAGTCTCTGGGAAATTAATGTATGTCGATGTAATGTCTCCAAAAAGCATGTAAACCCACTGTGTGTGTGTATGTGAGTGTGTGGATGGTGTCCAGTGGCCACGTCGCTTTATGGATGGATGAAAGCCATCCTGGCGCTCTGTGTGGCTCCACTGGATTGGCTGCCCGCTGAGTGCGACTGGGCATGTCTCTGCACCGGGGCGACCCCACGCAGACTCCTCAAGTGAATACAGCATGAACCACACTGCTCCCAATCGCTGAGCAGCCATCACACTGTTTCCATGCACATTGTAAGGGTTGCATAAGAAACTGTTTTGGAAAAATGTATTTCCATGTGTAGTGGTAGATGTGATTGCTTCTGTAGTCTGAAAAGCATCATTGTAACTGTAAATGAATATTGATGGAAAACATAACTATTCGGCAATATGGTCAAGTAGTTACATCAGCTAGAAGTAACCTGATCTTTAGAGGAGCGTGGGCAAATGATCAAAAACAAGATAGTATTGTGAATAGGGATGTAACAATAACTGAAATTTCGTAATGTTTTATCGTCAAAAGTCTCACAAGAATATCATGGACCATTACAATATATCAAATTACTAATTTTAAAGATACTAAATTCATTGTTGTGATGCAGAAAATAGTGAAAAACAGAGGGAACTACATCGACCATAATTCTTTGCTCTTGCTTCGTTTTAGTGCAGACTACGTAAAGAAATAACTGTTATTGTCAAAGCATTTAAAAAGAAAAAGTAGCATATTAACTATTTTGTTAGACTCCACAAAATATCTCAGTAAATATTGCACCATGAGAAGCATATTGAAAATATATTATACTGAGAGAGTTGGATATTGTTATGTCCCTAATTGTGAATGTTGTTTTAAAGATGCACAGTTTGAATAATAAGTAGGTCTATATAGTTTATAAAAAAACAAAAATGACACTTAATTATTATGCAATAAGGCTAACGATGTGTAAGTTGAAAGCTGCCATATTAGGATAAAAAGTAATATTTCTGAGTAGTTTTACAGTGTTTTCACATTTTTCTGCTGATTAAACCTAAACTAAAGACAAGATTTCTGTTGAACTGACATAATACTGTCTGTAAATTGTTTTGCACAGAAAAACTCAAAGATATTAATTTCTGTCAATATCGCCCACTCCTATCTGCCTTGTATTCACTTTTGGACAGATATACTTACTTGCTCCTATAGGATCGTTTATCACATTCAAAATCATAACTACCTCCGTCTCTATTCTCCCACTTCTTCTTTAAACTTGAAAAAGATTTGCTTCACGTTTGAAAGCAATCCTACATCTCCTCACTCCATCATCTCTTGAATAAAAATCCCTTCTTCTGTGGCCTGGACAATGCATCTGTCTATGTAGCATCCCTTATTGTGTAGCTGCTTATCTCACACACGACAATGAAGCCAGATGCCCCGACCGATTAAAGTAAACATTTGATGAATTTCAGCCACAGTGAATGGCCAAATATGAGCCGAGCATAATTATAAACCAAAATGGCCATGTAGCAGTCCAAAGAGAGGGAAATTGTAATTCTTCAAGCAATTTACATGAAGATGAGACAAGGTTTTCAACAGTGTTTAAAATTCGAGTCACCCTTTGTAATTGAGTGTCACTGAGCTGAAGCCGACAGCTCACTGCATAATGTTACTCTGGGATTGAACTCAAAATCAATGCAAAGTCAACTGGACGATTAAGATGGGCATGTACACTGACACTCTGTCTACGATTACATACAGCAGCTGGTGGATCATTTTCACCAAATGTTTTGGTCCACTTTCACTTAGATTGTCTCACTCAATGTTATTTGTTTATAATGTAGGGCTACAGCAAATAAATCAACATAATCATGACTAGTCCACTAAGAAGAGTAATGTAACTGTATTTCAGGATGCACCAATACAGTACTAGTACCAGATATTGGCCATATTGATTCATTGATACTAAACATTTTGGTGGATTTGACTTTGACTTCCAAGATATTGTTCAACTCAATATCCCATTTTACAAAGCATTTTTACAAAGCTGTTATAATAGTTATGAAATAAATTTGTAACATTCACCTTACACTGTTTGTGTTTAAATGAAATTAATTATATTTTCAGTCATTGCCCTAAAATCTATTGATATTGGGTACTGGCATTTAAAGCCAAAATATTGGTAATGGAACAGAAAACCTGTGCAATAATAGTATTTCAATAATAGTAATCGTTATCTGGACAACATAGACTCCAAAATTATGCCAAAAGACCTTTATATCAAAAAAAAAAAGTATTATAATAAAGTTTTTTTTTCTTCCTTAAGTCAACACATTTCAGAGTTAATTTGTTTGAAAATCTATTTAAAAAGCAATGGGAAAAATGGTTTCACTACCTCTAAAATTGTTCGTCGCAGCTCTTCGATATTATTAAAATTAAGTCTTATTATTTATGTTGGTAACTATGTGCATCTATGTAATCTCTGTACACAATGATATTTTATACTCTAGATGGTACATTCTTTTGTTTATTTCAAGATACCTTAAGACACTTTAAGTATGTGGGTTTTTAGCTGATCCCATGCAGATGTTCCTGTCATTATTTTTATTATGTTGGCAGGAGACCTAATCAAGAAGAAATAATTGTTATGCACATTGTCATACAAAATCTGCTCTCATAAATTGTCTGCACAGTTTGAATAAAGCTTCAGCAGCTCTTAAAACAGTGGAGTGTCTTACAACAGCACTCAAGGCAGCAGACAGTAAATTAATGATGCTTAAGTAAACTATGGATTAATTATAGATAGTCCACTGTGTAACTATAGACTCATATGCATATGCAGTGTCCTTACTTCCTGAGTCAAACTAAATAGCTGACTGACAAAAAACAACTGGCACACAGATGCTCTCACACATATTATTGCCCTTGAGAAGAAACTAGCCCCGATTAGGGTAAGTTAGTCTGCCTGGAGCTATTGCACTATCATGCCAAACTGAAAGGGCAAAACACCCACAATGCCTTGCTTGGCACACTTCCGAAATAACATGACATATTAACTGCTTATGAGCTTTGTCCCCTACAGCTATTTAATAAACAAGATGTCACTGATCTTAAGTAGCCTAAACCTTACTAAACAATGCTGAAAAAAAAAGAGAAGTGGGTCTCTGCCTCACAGGGGTGGCATGCGAGTTGCAAACTAAAATTAAAACTGCTAATCCTGTGGTTTTATACATAAATGTGTGTTTCTGCTGGTCACATGATCTTAATGTCTTGTTCAAGCTACAATACAACAAAGAAACCCGAATTATTCTGGCAGGTAAGGCAGGTGGCACACAAAGAGATCCACTTCAAAGTGCTTTATATTACGCTCAGCACAAGATTTGCATCGTGAAGGCAAAAATGTTACTCAAATTCGACTAAAGCCGTCTGAACTGGACCAAACATAAAACTTGGAACTGAGGATGTCTGTTAAATTAGATTAGATAAAAGTAAGGTCGCCTATTGGTGTTGCAAGAGACACAAGACACAAGTAGATTCGGGTTGATAACACTTTACAACAAGATATTACAACGCTCCAAACAGGACGTGGTTAAAAGCGCTCTTACCGTCCACAGCCATTCCCGGTCTGAGCGTGTACCTCTCCGTGGTGTCAGCAGGACTCTATCATCCTTGTAGAAAACGGGGGAAACGGTCACGTTACGAGCCAAACAACACGTAGTCGTCTTCTTTATTTACTACATATGAGTGTGTAGTGTAGTCTGCGCGTAGCAACTGAACTGTGAGAAGCGGAGAAAGAAAGGATGGACCAAACGGAGTCCTCCTCCTCCTCTTCTCGCGCACAGCCAGTTGTTGTCCCGGACGCTGTGAAAGGAGCCCGGGATGAAGCGGCTTCTCTCCAGGCCCCGCCCCCGTGTTCCGGAGCTCGTACCTGACCGCCGCCAGACAAAAGGTCATTACGCATCCAGAGTGCGCACCAGCTGCTCTCGCGTCTCAGCTGCGCGTCTGCCCACTACACGCGCATGTTATTATGTCATCATGGCTTGGCATCATTTCACCCTTTCAAGGTTTATCTGATGTCAAGTTCAAGTGGGGAAAGATCACGGTTTTATTTTTGCAAACGACAAACTAAACCAAAAATACACTAGATAAAAACATATCGAATTAAAAGAAAAACAAAAAACTATGAGACCTATAGCTGTATTATCCCATATAGGCCTACCCTGGCCTTAAACCAAAACCTACAAACACAAAGGGTTATCACAATATTTTTCACTTACAATGTTAAAGAACTGTTGAAAATGTTTTTTTATGGCATGAAAAAAAGCTTTAATAGAAATAAATGCATTTTGCATCATACATCATATTGTATATGATGAGTTTTCTTTAAGAGCACATTCACACTTGTCCTGGTTCTGATGTAGACTTGGTTTGGTCCTGTTATAGTCCTAGTCTAGTTCAAGTTTAGTCCCAGTCAATGATGGGAAGAATACTTTGAAATGTGCATAGTTACAGAATATTGAATACCCAAATTAAAATGTATTTTGTAATGTATTCTGATATATGATCCAATCATCCATCCATCCATTTTCTTCCGCTTATCCAGAGCCGGGTCAGAGGGGCAGCAGTCTAAGCAGGGACTCCCAGACTTCCTTCACCCTGGACACTTCCTCCAGCTCCTCTGGGAAGACCCCGAGTCATTCCCAAACATAGCCCCTGAGTCTTCCCCAGGGCCTCTTCCAGGTGGGACATGCCCGGAACACCTCCCGAGGGAGGCACCCAGGAGGCATCTGGAACAGATGCCTGAGCCACCTCAGCTGGCTCCTCTCAACATGGAAGAGCAGCAGCTCTACTCTGAGCTCCTCTCATGTGACTGAGCTCCTCACTCTATCTCTAAGGGTGCGCCCAGCCACCCTGCAGAGGAAACTCATTTCGGCCGCTTGTGTCCACGATCTTGTCCTTTTGGTCATTACCCAGAGCTCATGGCCACAGGTGAGGGTAGGTATGTAGACTGAGTGGTAAATTGAGAGCTTTGCCTTTCGACTCAGCTCCCTCTTCACCGCAATGATCTGATACAGCAACAGAATCACAGCAAATGCTGCACCCATCTACATGTCAATCTCACGCTCCATCCTCTCCTCACTCATGAACAAGACCCCGAGATACTTGAACTCCTCCACTTGAGGCAGGGACTCCCCACCCACCTGGAGAGGGTGAACCACTTTTTTCCGGTCAAGAACCATGGCCTTGGATTTGGAGGAGCTGATTTTCATCCCAGCCACTTCACACTCGGCTGCAAACCGCCCCAGTGCACACTGCAGGTCCTGGCCTTATGAAGCCAGCAGGACAACATCATCTACAAACAGCAGAGATGAGATCCTGTGGTCCCCAAACTGGACCCCCTCTGGCCCCTGATTGTGCCTAGAAATCTGTCCATAAATACAATGAACAGAACCGGTGACAAAGGGCAGCCCTGGCTGAGGAGATGGTTCAATCAGAATACTGTACTTAGAATACTAAAAATATTTTTACACTAAGTTGCATTTAAATTATATATTATAGTGTGAAAACATGATATATAATTACAAACAGCTTGATTTTTTTTTAAATTTTGCATTAATTTATGTTTAATTAGAGAAGGAAAAATCCCACGCACACATTACAAGAGCTATGTTAGCTTTTTTCTCACTAATACCATGCAGTCAATTATTTCAATGTATTTCTTTTAATTTAGAAAAATAACAGTGCTCTGAATATCACCAAATGAAAAAGTAACTGTACCAAATACAGTTACTCAAAATCAGAATATGTCTTTTTGGTACATGTATTCATTTACTTTCCAACCCTGGTCACAGTCTTAATTTTGGTGTTTTGTATGTGCAAGAGTGAACACATCTTAAGAAGACCTTTTAAGAAGAGCCCTTGTACAGCAGTGAATAACAGTGCATGAGTATGACTTAAAAAGCTGCTCACTCCTAATAAAAAGTAAGCGAAATTCTCTTCATGCTCACAATCCTCTTTTTTTAGCCCTGCTCCACTTGTCTGTCATACACTTTCACTGCACTTCAAAGAGCCACATTTCTGAGGTTTAGTGTGTCTTTTGCAGTGTGCCATCTCCAAACATATTCAGCTAATTGATTCTGCTTCCTTCCCAATTGTGTATTCAGACGACTCAGCACTTGAGCTGCACTTTTCCTACAGTTAAAAGAAGTAAAATATGTTGTAAAGACTTGAGAGTGAGTCGAGGAATTTGAATGCTCCGAATCATCAAAGTGTGAACAAGCAGACAGGGAAGGGCACAGAGACATACGGGGCTGTTACTGTTCTTCATTCATCCCTATGGTTTATTTACAACTCAGCTTTTTGTGAGTACTCTTTGTCTGGGAGAAGTACTTTGTATCATTAATTCAGAAGATAGACAGTGGTATAGTGAAATATACATGGAAATTGCAGTAGACCTAAAACACAGATGAAGTAAGTCTCTGTTGATTTTTGTATGGTTTGTGTTTTACTTAAATTTTACTGCATGTTGCAAATACCGTGAATTTTACCGTGAACATTATTGGTTATTGGTTACGTTGTAATTTCCAGATTGACTGACTCATTTAGCAATCTTATAACAACTGCTCAATAGGTGCCACACTGTGAGCCTTAGAATGGGTACACATTGATTAAGAAAGCAAGAAAATAATATCAGATTCAAAGCACATTCACTGGCCAACCAAGATTACAAGTTTCAAGCAGCGGCTCTACTCCAAGTTCCTCCTGTTTGACTAAGTGCCTCACCCTATCTCTTAAGGAAAGCCCAGCCACCCTGTGAAGCAAGCTCATTCTGACCGCTTGAATCAGTGATCTGGTCCTTTTGGCCATTACTGAAAGCTCATGACCATAGGTGAGAGTAGAAATAAATAAATCAAGAGCTTTGCCTTTTGTTTCAGCTCCTTCTTCACCACAACAGCCTGATACAGCGACTACATCACTGCTGACACTGCACCGATCCAGCTGTCCATCTCCAGATTCACCAAAAGATAATCTAAATTTATCTAAAAAAAATAAAATAAAATGAGATGGCGGTGGCCCAGGTAATGACCAGAGATTTTCTATAGAAAGAGAACCAGTCTGGATGCCAGGTTAGATGGCACATGCTGACACCCAAACCTTTTTTAGAGCCGTGAATCATAAAAGAGTTTTCTAAGGTACATAAGAGCACTTGAGAGTATGCACATGTTGAAAAGTTACTCAGTGCTTCTTTAAGAGCCTGAGTTGGAGCTGAGTGTCACTTTGGCAAAGTTTACCCGATGGGATTACAGCCGGCGGGAGAAAAAAGAGAGAGAAGGGGCTGCTGAGAAGACTTGGACTAACCCTGTGTGCATCTAAATGCATAAAAACAGCCCATTCAAAGAGGGTGGATTTCAATGGAACTTAAGAGGCTCTCGTGTGCCTGTATGTAGTGAGTGTGATCTGAACCAAGCAGCTCTTTCAGGTTCAAGTGAAAAGAAATCTAATGAATTCCCACAGGAAGCTATTTACTCAGTTGAGATGAGTGTGGATGATAGAGAAGGATCCACTTTATAGTGTTAAGTTGTGGCCCTGAGCTGTTTTCCTAATCACCAACCTGGGGGAGTTTACCATGCTTCTGTGGAAAGCCAGCGTCCCCCCTTTAGATTTATTCAGCGCAAAGAGCAAAATATGACAGAACCCATTTAAGAGATATATTTCCCTGCCACTCCCTGCTCGTCCTCACACACACTCCTATGCAGCTCCTTGTCTGTGTGTGTGTGCCTGTTAATGAGTGTGTCTCCAGCGAGTGGCGGTTTGATACGGCTTTGTCGTAGTCTTTCTTGCATGGTGACTTCACTCTTATGCAAATCACATCTATCTATTTTGTCAAAGGTTTCAAAACAGCATCTTGATCTGCTCAAGATGTGTTCATAAAACCATGTCAGAATCCAATGTGCAAAAGCTGTCCTCTATGATCAAATGGCTGAATGATCTTGTTTATAGCTAGAATAATAAAAGTCATATTCTATAGTGTCACTTTTAGCAAAAAATAAGAGAGAGACATTTATGAGACAGAATACTGAATATATTGTCACTAATATATGAAACGTGCAGATATTGCCATTGACTGCGCCCTTGAGGTAGTCCTCATGAATTGCTAAACCTGGCCTAGACCTTAGTCTTGGCTTTGATTTAGACCCCGTTACGGTCCAAGTATTGACTTTAAATAATCCTGATTTTGACAACATTGTGTCCATCAGAGTTGGAGTTGTTCTTAAAAAGACAATTCTCTTGATATATAACTGCTTTTATTCACTATATTTTCAGTCATTACCAACTTCTTCTCACCCTCTGTTCCTGTTCAACATTATACAATTGGCTTACTCAGCAGAACAAAACAACACATCAGCAAGATGTCATTATCACTGTCTTAATATGTATGAGATTAGCTCTACCTTTCACATGTTAGTTGTCACACCAATTATATATTTCTTCTGCTCATTTAACCACATGGTTTATGGCAATTGGAGTCATATTATTATTATTCATGCACTTGAGTCAAGGTGACCTCTAAGAAGCACTCAGCAATTAGGCTAATGAATTATTTCCAAACTGCCTGCCCTTCAATCTGAAATGTCATGTTTATCAAATCATTAGCATTCCAAGCATCTCATATTTTTATTGAAAGTTCTTGATTTGGTCTCATTATTTACTGCTCTCATAAGGATCAATGTTATACATATTGCTGCATCTGTTTTACTGTTGTTGGCTACAAAGAAAAAAGCCCTGCTGACCTGCTCCTGTTGTCCCTTTTAATTTGTTAGTGGAATAATGCATGCTGCGTAATCAAAGCTAAATAAATCATTAGTAATCCGCTCAGACAAATAAGTCAGGCTTTGTGTTCAATGAAAGTCTGTGACTAAGAGATGATAATTGGGTCCAACATGTGCGCAATGGTGAAAAACGATGTTGTCTGTGGTCTGTTTTCTGTTTTAGCATGTGTCTGGTGATAATGCAAATATGCTTTTTGCTCGGATTTGCAGGAGATCCAAGAAAATATGTCTTTCATCTAATATCTTCTAATCAGCTCTCACAAATCGCTTTTGTGGATCTTCTCATTTGTCTCCCATTTGTGTTCAATTCAGCATCTGCAGAGTTCCCTTTGCTTCCACTGTCGACACCATCTCAATCTTGCCTTTGTTTCTATGTCTACTGTATGTCTATGGGTGCGTTCACACATCACACCACATCACAATTGGGACTACACACAGACCTAAACCTAGACTAGACCAGGACAAAAAATAGGACCAGGGTGAGACTCAAACTGAACACATCCTAAATGACATATTGCTACTCCATCCAGCCTCATTAGTACCTAAAGAACTTCAACATTTCCCCTGAGGGCCACCTTATACACTGAATAAACATGAATGCAAGACGATGCAGATGACCACATGACAGGTAACATTATTCATATACAAGAACTTAACAAACTTACACATGTGGGCACAAGTTTGTTGCACTTTTAAATAATATTTGTCATTTGATTTATCACAAAAAATACTACAATAAATTACTATAAAAGTCGAGTATTGCAGTTTCCCCCATTAGCCTAAAACATACATGTTGGCAAAACAGTAATGAATGATGTGTCAAATGCAGAGCACAAATTTCCCTTTAAAGGCTTATTCACAGTTTAAGAATCACTTCAAAAATAAAGGTTAATAATACCTCTTTATTCAGAAACAATTATAGCAAAATGAAGTAACAGGCTCTTGTTTCTTCTTCACTACAATCATTATCTCTTCTCACATCATGTTCTGTGCACATTTTCCTTGTTAATTTCTAATCAGTTCATAAATGAAAAATAAAACGGATGACTCATTAAACTGCAGATTTATGTAATGACAATTTGCCCTCACTGTTCAGGGCAGCAGAAATAATTATCTTTAATGCATCATATTGAATTGCCCTTGTTCTGTCTGCTAATGTCTGATTTCCATTATTAGAATTTATGTCTTTCAGACCTACAGATTTAATTGTTAATATATAGCAATGGATCCGCACACTACATAGGTAGATAGACAGACAGACAGACAGACAGACATTCCAGATCTTCATTTATTTAAGTTTAAATGCCAAAAATATCAGCCAACCAGCATGTTTAATTAGACTAATTAATTACACAATAGTTCACTCAACATATTCAATATGAAAGTTTGCCCTGTTAGGGACATTCTCTCAAAAAATAGGTGCGGTCTGCCCTGAAGACTCATGAAGAAATCATCTGAATCTAGAAGCAAATGGCAAGTGTTTAATATGATTGGAAGTAATTGATAAATAGTTCTCTAAAGATTAAGCCTCAAAAATGTCACCTCTAATTTTAATTACTTGCAATTATCTCCAAGTGACATGGTTTAAATATGTCTGCGTAACTAACGATGTGAATTAGGCCAAGGTTACCTATAGCTCTACATAAGTAAAATGCTCAAGAATTATAGGTCTATAGGCCTACTGAGTCCCTAAGATAATAATTAAGATGAAAATAAATAAAAGTCACTATTCCAAGCTATTGTATCAAATATCGATAGGCTGCTGTTCAGAGGTTAGCTGACTTAATTGTTCCCAAATATATATATATATTAAAAAAAATCTAAGTTATTTTAGTCCTTTGAGCCAATCGACAGTGTAAGATTCAGTATTTCTTTTAACCCCTTGCGACCTCATGTGGCCATTTTAAAAAACTGCACCAGTTCAAAGCACATTTCACAAATCTCGAATTTTATTTTTTATATTATGTTATTCAAAATTAAACAAAACGAAACGGATTGTATGTTGATGTGAATTTATAGCAAAATGACAAAAACAGGACCAAAATAAGCATGGTGGCGCTGTCACAGATTTTTTAAAAACCTAAACGTCACTTCCGGTTACCAGCGGAAGTCCGTCTGTTTATTTGGCCGTGTGGATTTTCGTCGTGGGAGCAACGATGGCTACCGCTGCAAAACAAGCCCCTAAAACTGCCACCAAATCATCTACCGGGGCCACCGGGGCGGCCACTACCCCCGGTGCCCCTCCGGTGATGCCCCTGGCCTCGCCTCTGATGGGAAAAAAGAAGAAACCGTTCCTGGGGATGCCCGCGCCTCTCGGATACGTCCCTGGTTTGGGCAGAGGGTAATTCATTAGCAGCATAAATAGCTAGCAGCCTTAGAATAATGCATTAACGTAGTTGCATTGGCTAGTAAATATTAGACATATAAACACACATGTATCATTTTCTAATGCAACGACTCTGGTGAAACATAATTTAAGACACCTTCGATACTGATCATATCTTTTTTTTTTCTTTTTTAGTGCTACTGGCTTTACTACTCGATCTGATATCGGTCCTGCTCGTGATGCCAATGATCCCGTTGATGACCGACATGCCCCCCCGGGGAAGAGGACAGTGGGGGATCAAATGAAAAAAAGTCAAGATGATGATGATGAAGATCTCAACGATACGAACTATGACGAGGTAACTATAAGGCTAACATATGAAATCAGTTACATTCACACCTGTCGAAGTGCATAACATTTTTTTGTACTTAACTGTAACTCTTCTGTAGTTCAATGGGTATGCAGGCAGCTTGTTCTCCAGTGGGCCGTATGAGAAAGATGATGAAGAAGCAGACGCGATATATGCTGCACTGGACAAAAGAATGGATGAAAGACGAAAAGAGAGAAGGTGTGGAGATGTTCAGCAGTATAGATCTGTAAATAATTGTAAATAACCGTGAATAACCAATATATAAACTGTTTTTAGGGAACTGAGAGAAAAAGAAGAAATTGAGAAATATCGTATGGAGCGTCCCAAAATCCAGCAGCAGTTTTCAGATTTGAAGGTTTGTTACAATGCTCACAAACATAATGCTTGTATAAAATTGTCCCATTTGAAATTCCAAGACTAAGAGAAACTTAAAATTCTATTTACTCATAGCTGAGGTCTGTTTTGACCTGAACAAAAGAGGAAACATGTTTGTGCCTGACAGGTTCTGGTTCAAGTTAATAATAACAGGAGTGAGAGTAATAGACAAAAACAAGTATGCTTTTTAAAATTGTATTTAACAAAAACTGCAACTCATTGAAATATTAAAACCATAGCATTTGGATTGTACCTTTTGTAACAAGAAAGATCAAATAGAATGAAATAGTAATTAATAATATGTCTTGCTTATCATAAGCGTATAAAATTACACTTACACTGTCTGCATGTTATTGTTTGCTGATCAATGTTATGTTTCACATTTCCCCCCTTTTGAAAAATACAGAGAAAGTTGGCTGAGGTGTCAGAGGAGGAGTGGCTGAGTATCCCTGAAGTAGGAGATGCCAGAAACAAACGTCAAAGAAACCCTCGGCATGAAAAACTCACCCCCGTACCAGACAGTTTCTTCTCCAAACACCTGCAGACTGGAGAGAACCACACGACAGTGGACCCTCTTCAGGGGGTGAGTGTCTTTAGTGCTAAAATATACAATGCCTTTCACAATCTTTACTATACAAGTTCAGCAGAATATTAGAATCCATAATATATTACACAGCAAAAATAGGTTATATGTGACCAACCCATTTATAACGTGATTGCATTAGGACCCGACCGATATGGATTTTGTTTGGCCAATCCCGATAAAATGGGAGTTGGGGCTGCCGATAGCTGATATAATCACTGATATATTTAGTGATGTTAAAATTCACTGTAAATCTTGAATTGTTTAAAAAACTTACGTTTGGCTCTAGTGGATTTTAAATTGGATTTATTTAGGCAACATTTATTGTTATTCTGCCTCTTTACGTCATATTTACAGACAGTAGGTCAGCCTAATGGCATTTTTGCATCACATTCTAGCTACTAGTGATGGATATTCCAGTTCTTTTTAGAGAACTGGCTCTTTTGGCTCGACTCACTAAAAGCAGCTGGCTCTTTTGGCTCCCAATCGGCTCTTCAGGTTGTTTTGTTGCAAGCAGGACTAAAACAGATCTAAACCATGTGTAAAACAGGACTAAACCAGAACTGAACCAGGACTGAACCAGGACTGAGTGTCGGGACGCGGTCTCTCTCCCTCCCTCGAGCCCAAGATTAGTGCTGGTTCATTTATTTTATGCTGAACTACAGCCAAATATGCATGTTTTTTTCTGTCCTATGCACAAGCATATTTCTGAAAGTTTTGTTTTCAGCCGCTGCAGCTGTCAAACTACCAAGAGTCTGCATGCAACGTGAAAAGAAAAAAGTGAGAGAAAGAGAGAGGGTGAGAGAAAGAGAAAACACGGCTCCCAATAAGGAGCAGGCTCCCGTCGTTTGCTTCAAAGAGCCGGCTCTAAGAGCCGTTTCGTTCGCGACCGACCCGTCACTACTAGTAAAGGAACTACCGCTATTAGCCTTTAGCTGTAAATGCTGCACGCCACGGTAATTAATTATATACATAAATGGCATCATTTACACTTCACACCTCTATTCACAGCTCATTTACATATCAATGCAGGTCCAGTAACATATATACGGCCAATATAGTCACTTTACAATAAGCCAACAGAAGAGAAAACGGCCTGTTTATGTGCGGGAGCTACAGCAGCTAATCGCTAACCAATAAGAAATAACCAAAACTAGCTTCAAAATCGACATATTTCCAACACTCACCGCTTACACAGGCTCCTCCTCACATTGCAAGTCTGCACTAATAAATGTCCTTTTAATCCAGACTCAAACCCATTGTCCATAAAAAGAAAATAATCTCAGTGTTGTGCACATGGATCTATGTCTGCGGGTGTAAACAAGCGCACGTGAGTGACGTGTGTTCAGGGACAGTACGGACACACACACAGACAAATTACACCGCAGATGAATACTGTTGCAGAGCCACATATTAGGACATTTATCTGTCTGTAAATTATATTAAATGAACAGAATGTAGAGAGTCTAAGCTTTATAACGAGGTATAACATGCCCACGTGAAATATCAGTCCATATCAGCAAACATATCGGCCGATAGCCGATAATATCGGCCAACCGATATATCGGTCGGGCTCTAAATTGCATGGCTTATGCACATGATGTAATTGCAATCTATGCCAGCAGGAGTCAGTAGAACCCACATTTTCACTTACAATATTATATATATATATATATATATATATATATATATATATATATATATATATATATATATATATATATATATATGTTATAAATATAAGGACCTCATCATAAGACGGTTTAACATTTTATTGATCCGCTGTTAATTAGTTGTTGTTTTTCTAATTAACTGAATTACTAGTCAACTAGAAGCAGATTGGTCTTTTGATTATTATATTTGACGCAAGCTGTGCCACTGAAGTTTGCAGACAAAAGTTTTCATCAAAGTACACATATCCTGTATCATTTTGTAGTATTACTTTCTCTGGGTCAAAAAATTCTTCTTTTGGCTCATGGAATGTTTTGGGGTCAGTATACTGAATCACTGCAAGATGTAAAATTTAGTTCTTCATAAGGTTAATATAATTCTTATTATATGGTACACTGCTAGTAACATTTGTTATTATTAAGCACTTCAGTTTTCTTTCTTGTATTTGTAAACCAAACACATTTATTTTATGTTAAAAACTAGCTTGGAGGATTGAACACACCCTATCCTGGAAGTATGACTCCAGGACTGATGACACCAGCATCAGGAGATTTGGACATGAGGAAGATTGGTCAAGCCAGAAATACTCTGATGGACATGAGGTTAAGCCAGGTGTCAGACTCTGTCAGTGGACAAACTGTTGTGGATCCAAAGGGTTATCTAACAGACTTGAACTCTATGATACCGACACATGGAGGAGACATCAGGTAGATATTGTTTAATAGATGATGTGTGAAGTTTGCAAACACACCCTCAGACTGTATATTTGTATGTTACTAGTGATATCAAAAAAGCCAGACTGCTTCTTAAATCCGTGAGGGAGACCAACCCCCATCACCCACCTGCGTGGATTGCATCTGCCAGGCTTGAGGAGGTAACGGGTAAACTTCAAGTGGCCAGAAACCTGATAATGAAGGGCACAGAAATGTGTCCTAAGGTAAGATATTTTATTATGTGGCTAATAGAGCACTTGGGTGGTGCTTCTGAGTGGTTTTACTTTTAATCTTTGTTCTATTTTCAAGAGTGAGGATGTGTGGCTGGAGGCTGCCAGGCTGCAGCCAGGTGACACAGCCAAGGCTGTGGTGGCCCAGGCTGTTCGCCATCTTCCACAGTCAGTTCGAATCTACATCAGAGCTGCTGAGCTGGAGACAGATGTCCGAGCCAAGAAGAGAGTGCTCAGAAAAGGTAATGATGTTGTTTATTCAATGAAAGAGCAACTTTGGTATAAACACATTTTATTGATAATTTATTAGGGAAAATCCTTGGATACCATAGCTAACAAATAATAATATAAGGGTACTTCTTATTAACAGAGAGCATGTGTCTGTGTGTAATAATAGCAGAGCATAGCAAATAAGGTATAAATAAAATATATTTATGTAATTGTGTTGATGCTACAAAAGGTCACCAAACATTAATATCAGCCGAAACATTTTGAACTTGTCTCAAGTTGTTAATAGTTGCATAAAAACATCCACTAAGACACCTTACTCTCGAATATCATATTATGCAGCTCTAATTCTGGCTTGTATTCAACAACCCATATGAACTTTGTGTCATTGCCCTAACACATGCACATACACATTCAGGTTCACACCATTTTTTCCCAACCGCATACTCCACTGACAGAGATGGATGGGCTGTTTCCTGTAGTATTTCTCTCTAGCCTCTACATGTTCTGCTATCAGACTCTCTCAAGGGCTTTCTCCAAATGCTTTCTTTTGATACGAACAAATTTGTTTTTGTAGTACTTTAGATGGTAGTGTTGTAAATTGCAGGGAAGACATGTATGCAGCAGTAATATAAGTATTATTAGTATTTGCTGAATCCGTAATTAAATAATCATGGTATGTAATTGAAGAATCTTTCAATTTTTTTTAAACTGTGTGTGTGGGTATTTGTTGTAGCTCTGGAAAATGTGTCTAAATCAGTGAGACTCTGGAAGACCGCTGTGGAGCTGGAGGAGCCAGAAGATGCCAGAATCATGCTTAGCCGAGCTGTAGAGTGCTGCCCTACAAGTGTTGAGGTATTGCCATACATAGAGGATATCATTATTAAGTGAGCTATTAAGTAACCTAATGCCGAACTAGATATTTGAATGTATACCAATGTAACGCATATATATGTCTTCATGTTATGACCTCCGTGCAGCACTTTGGTAACGACTTTGTTTGTAAAATGTGCTGTATAAATAAAGTGGATTTGGATCGTAGAATATATAATTTGTCTCACCTAATTCATTTTTTCTCCTTCCAGCTCTGGCTCGCTCTTGCTCGGTTAGAGACTTATGAAAACGCCCGCCGTGTTCTGAACAAGGCTCGTGAGAACATCCCCACTGACCGCCACATCTGGATCACTGCTGCAAAGCTGGAGGAGGCCAATGGCAACACTCAGATGGTGGAGAAGATTATTGACAGAGCTATCACCTCGCTACGAGCCAACGGGGTGGAGATAAACCGAGAACAGTGGATTCAGGTACTGTAAGATTTGACACTGGTGTTTGTGTGGGAATTTAAGGTGACTAACACCCACATGCGTCATTGTTGTTGTAGTTGGATGGTACATTTGCCAGCTCTGATACATGTATTTTGCTAGACTTAATACCAGCTATTTGTTTTGGCAAGTTATTTTTCACCTCGGGCAAAAGTTGTGTATTTTATAAAAATACTTTGATCATAACAGTAATAAGCAATTTATCGTTTGGCATTGCCTCAAAAGGTGTGTCATTTTCATAACTTCTTATGAGTCACACACATATTTTATATATTACTCACAAATCACAATCAAAATCACAATATTCCACATTTTCATAGTTTTCATCTGTTTTGACCTGTTAGAATAAATAATTCTGAATAATGGTTTGCTATGCAGGATGCAGAGGAGTGCGATAAAGCCGGCAGTGTGGCCACATGCCAGGCTGTGATAAGGGCGGTCATTGGGATTGGCATTGAAGAGGAAGACTGTAAGCACACCTGGATGGAGGATGCAGACAGTGTATGTTTTACAAGTTACAATCTTGATCTACAACCTTAGATCTTTATAATTTGATAATGATTAATTTAGTTTTACAACATGACTGCTATTTTTGTTTCAGTGTGTTGCCCATGGAGCTTTGGAGTGTGCCAGAGCCATCTATGCCCATGCTCTCCAAGTTTTCCCCAGTAAAAAAAGTGTTTGGCTCAGAGCTGCATACTTTGAGAAGAACCATGGCACAAGGTAAACTCATTTGATCCTTTGTGTTTTTAATATCTTTTATACACCTATCACATGTTACATCTGGAAGGTTATATTTCTTTATAATGGCACCCCTTAGGCTTTTCATACATAGTGTTATTCCTGATGATTGGAGCTGTTTGTTCTAATGTACCACTTGTTCCCAGGGAGTCTTTGGAGGCTCTTCTGCAGAGGGCTGTTGCTCACTGTCCCAAAGCTGAGGTTTTATGGCTTATGGGGGCTAAGTCCAAATGGCTGGCTGGAGACGTGCCTGCTGCCAGAAGTATTCTGGCTTTGGCTTTTCAGGTAAAAAAGAATCCAAATAGTTATGTTACATGGTTACTAGTCATAACCATTTAACTTTATTTTTTTTGTTTTTACTTTTTCAGGCCAACCCCAACAGTGAGGAGATCTGGTTAGCTGCAGTCAAGCTAGAGTCTGAAAACAATGAATATGAGCGAGCACGACGACTGCTGGCCAAGGCCCGGAGCAGTGCCCCTACAGCTCGGGTAGGTTTAAAACTAAATCATCTAAGATGTAGCAGCTTGGATGAGCTGCGAAATGTCTTCAGTCAAAAAACTTTGTCCAGTTGACATCATTTTATTTTATTTTTTTATGTTGATTTAAAGTATTTGAAAACACCACATGAAAGCAATAAAGAAAATTAGATACAGTAGCTGTTTATTATATTGTTGACATATTTGCAAAGTGTTTAAAATCCCTCAGTCATCCAGGTAAAATCCATGGTAAAAGGAGAAATACAATCTGTCAACTGGACAAAACTAACACATCTACTTGTTTACAGTTTCTGTTCTTGCACTGAGCTTGGTGTCTAGTAGTAGTTTCATTGTAGTCAGCTCCTCCCTTCAGGCACATATAAGGAAGTGTCCAACAGCGTCTGACCAGAACTGAAGCAGCAGCTTGGATGAGCTGCGAAACATATTCACCCAAATAAAGTTTTGTCAAGTTGACAAACTGAATTTCTCCTTTTGCCATATTTACAAAGTGGCTTAATGTATATGGATGTAGTTCCAGTTAACTTTAAGTTGTGTTTAATTAATTGTGTTTTTACCTGGGGGAATGTTGCTATCAATCTATTTCTGTTCTTTTGTGTATTCAGGTCTTTATGAAGTCAGTGAAATTAGAATGGGTTCTTGGAAACATTGAAGCTGCGCATGACTTATGCACTGAAGCTCTAAAACATTACGAGGACTTCCCCAAACTGTGGATGATGAGAGGCCAGATAGAAGAACAGTGTGAAAACATGGACAAAGCCAGAGAGGCCTACAACCAGGGGGTGAGCTAACCTTAAACACTGGAAATTGTATTATTTGTCTGTTTTGAACAATTATGTTATATATGAAATTTGTTTGATTGGTTTTAGCTTAAAAAGTGCCCTCATTCGATGCCACTGTGGTTGCTGTTGTCTCGCCTTGAAGAAAGAGTGGGTCAGCTGACGAGAGCCAGAGCAATTCTTGAAAAGGCTCGTCTCAAGAACCCTCAAAGCCCCGAACTTTGGTGAGAAATTTTGCATGCATTATATCCATTAAACCATTCTTATAGTCATTTGTACAACGTGTTTTTTATGTTTTCTTTTATTTCAATTTGTCTATTAGGTTGGAGTCAGTGAGACTAGAATTCCGGGGTGGATTGAAAAATATTGCAAACACACTGATGGCAAAAGCCCTGCAAGAGTGTCCAAATTCAGGTACGCAATATTTGTCCTTACACGTATGTGCTGTTTATTCATGAAACCTCCTGCAGTAGACATATATTCATCCCCCTTTCCTTTTTTGTAGGTATCCTGTGGGCAGAGGCAGTGTTTCTGGAGGCCAGACCGCAGAGAAAGACCAAGAGTGTGGATGCTTTGAAGAAGTGTGAACATGATCCTCATGTATTGCTTGCTGTGGCCAAGTGGGTCCCATATATAATGAGTAATACTTTGCTGTTGCATATTTGCTCATAAAATATCGTCTCTTGTCATGTGTGTTGTAGATTGTTCTGGAGTGAACGCAAAATCACCAAAGCCAGAGAATGGTTCCTGAGAACAGTAAAGATTGAACCAGACCTGGGAGATGCTTGGGCTCTTTTCTACAAGTTTGAATTGCAGCATGGTACAGAGGTGAGGCTTACTGTCATTTAAAGTTAATATCTATCTTTAAGTTCAAATGTTTAGCATTTGAATAGCTTTATATTTCCACTGAAGGAACTATGTGCATATTTTTTATCTTTTACCTTTCCCATTCTCGCTCCTCAGGAGCAGCAGGAGGAGGTGCGTAAACGCTGTGAAAATTCTGAGCCTCGTCACGGGGAGTTGTGGTGTGCAGAGTCTAAACATGTCCTGAACTGGCAGAAAAACACTGGAGAGATACTAGCTCTGGTCGCCAGCAAAATCAAGAACACTTTTTAAGTTTAGTTGATGATTAATTTGAAAGATCTGATGGACTACTGTTGGCTGGACCACCTTCACAAAGTCACCCAGATTATCATCCCACTGCAATATTTTTAAATCTGGATGTGCCCTGGATAAATCAGCAAGTTTTGTCTTTCCCACATGGCTTTTGTTTCATGTGTACAATGTACTTCTTGTTAGCCGTTGTTTTTTAAAACGTGAAATTGTTAAAATACCTTTGTGTATATAATGGAAACATCTTTAGATTTTGAGATTGAAATGCTCTAAATTACTAAAACGAAAACAGATTTGTATAACATGTCATACATTTCTTTGTTTAAAAACATTATTATTATTATTATTTTTAACATGGTTGTTTTCATTTGCCATGGAATCCAATAAACACCCAGTCAGGGCACATTACGTGAGGTGACAGCTTCATTGTTTCATGCTTTTTACATGAAATGTGGTTGTTCTAGTTCAGTCGGACCACACGCATTGACACGCACGCGCGCACACACACAAACACATGCGCGCCTAGAAAGCGATTTGGATTAATCTATTCTACCGGAAACGTTTTAAGCAGGTGATTAATGACAAAAAATTTCCGTGGGAGTCGTGTCACAGGAGTTAGGTGAAATTTAAAGCCAGGCGGTAACAGTCCGTGACGGGAGGCAAAAGCACGTCAGTGATGTTGGAAAGATCGCCGCACCATAACGGAAGTACACCGTCTCAAAAGTAACCAATCTGCCACACAACCCTCCAAATACAAGAAACCATCGAAGCAGGAGAATGTGTTTCCGTGTGGCAGTGATGGCTCTAGACGTTTGAGGATCCCAAGACCTACGTGATAAATGGTAATGGCCCGGGAATGCGCAAATTAATGATGTCTTTAGGGCGCGTGAAAGTGTGCGTTGAGCTCTGTCCGGCTTACTTTAATTCTCCTCTAATTTAAAGTTTTTACATTTATTATTATTATTATTTTGTTCTCAGTGTGTGACCAGAGCTCTGTTTCGGATTGTCGTCGTGTTAGTCCTTTTGGTAAATTCTGGTGGAAAACGTAGGTGTAATTATACCGAGATCCTTGGCACATACAGAAGACTGATCAGCATCGAGTTGCAAAATCTGGTGTGTTCTCACTTTTATATTCTAAACTATGAATTTTCTACTATACTTTGGTGCCCTCTAGTGTTTGAAAGTGAAATTCAAACATGTGTCTTATATGTATTTTAAATTAGTGTATCAATATATTTTGTCTTTGTAACATTTTGCTTTCTTCTCTTTTTGTAGAATATAACAGCTTCCCATAACAGCTCCAAAGGGAAAAGCCTATGTCCCTCTGTGAAGGTAACTGATGGGAGCCTATTTGTGTCACTTTCAGCACCATGGACAGAGAAATCAATAATCAATTTTTTTACCTTTAAAAAAAAATGGGTATTGACGTGTTCAGTATGATAATAGATTTGTTTCACACACAGGCGCACCGGATCTTAGGCTCAATTTATAATACAACATTGTGGATGCGGTGTCAGATTGGAGACAAAAAGTCTGACTTGAACCAACCACTGGAAAGCATGGAGCAAGTCATTATTTACAACTGCAGCCCGAATTATTTGGTGAGGAACAAAGGTTTACAAATCTGATTTGTTGAATATTTGTTGAAATATTCTGATTGTTGTGTTCTTGTGGAAGCAGGGAAAACCCCTTTCTTGTGCATCTGTCAAAAAAATTCTACGTAAGAAAAAAAAGAGGATACGGCTCATTGGAATGATTAAAGCTCTAACAGTATGCTGGCAGAAACTTCACAGTGTATTTTCAGCAAAATCAAGTAGTTTTTGTTAAATAAGACATATTACGCATTTTTGTATTAAGTATCACATATAAATCATTATTTTTACATTTTTACAAGTTACCAGGAAATCTATGGTTCTGGGCTGTGATAGAAGGTAGGTAAAAACACTTAAATATGCATGAATCAGTTCAAATACAATTCTGAGCATCTAATAATGGAGGAACATACATTTTGCACAATATGACTTCTTTAAAATATATATTTTAGATACAACGGTATTTTCTTTTATTTTGTCTAAAGATCAGAACAATATTTTACTAGGTGCTCCATAAAATGTACGTTTCATATTTGTGTTATGCTAATAATATCTCTGCATTTAATGGCTTTCTATATTGTGTTTGTATTATTATTATTATTTTTATACAAGTATATGTACAAGTTTTAAAAGCTGTAGTACTAAATGAAGTGCCAATATTTTAAATAAATTCAGGAAAAATATTCTTTCGACGTTTTATATACATATTATTTAAATTCTGCTATGGTATTTGAAAGCAAAATTGTTTGCGCGGAACCAATTTTGTGTCATGTTTCAGTCCGGAACATGTTAGACAGCGTACTCAAACTACGACGCACTCACGATTCAACACAACTTTGCCTTTTACACATCAGATTTCTTAAGTCTTCCAGTTTTGAACGTCTTTCGTACGGGAAACACTACTTACCTCTGATATAAGCTTCATTTAAAGTTGAGTAACACATTTTTATTATCGTAATGGACAAGAAAACATAATCTCTCTTAAACTAGAGTTTAGCCATTGGTGGTTGTTAGATTTTGTCTTCAGTTTTGATCGATAACGATATCCAGTGCTAAAAAATGGCTAGTAGCAGTGTGGAAATGGATCCAGATGTTGCCCGGAACCTGTTTGTAGAAGGCGCGACCCTGGTGCTGCTCGGAGTCCCGCGGGGCACGGAGCTGGGCATCGACTGCAAGAGCTGGCAGGTTGGCCCCAAATTCCGCGGGGTGAAGATGATTCCCCCAGGCCTTCACTTTCTCCACTACTCTTCTGTTAACTCTCCCAACTGTGGCAATGAGATTGGACCAAAGACTGGCCTTTTCCTTACTCTAAAACCAAGGGAGATCCTTCTGGCCAATTGGAATGCTAAGGAGGAAGACTTGGACTTTTCAGCCTCTAAGAATGAGGAAGAGGTAAGCAAGATTAGAGCAAATCTACAGGAGTTAGACCCTCATTTAGGCCCTTATCCTTATGATGTCATGAGAAAATGGGTCTCCCTCACTGACCGCCTCACTGAAGAGGTTGCCACCAAGCTACAGCCCCTTTCAGGTCGAATCTGTGCCTTCAGTGATGTGATTCCTGAACTCCAATTTACCCACACCAAGGACAGAGCCGAGCAGCCACGGAATGACACGGCCTGCCAGAGCATGAGAGAGGGACTGGACAGGCTACCTAAAATGAAACACAGAGAAGGGACTGAGTTACGGTTTTCTGTTATTCCCAAGAAAACTTACCCTCCAGGAGCAACTCCAGCAGAGATTACACAGTGCAGCATGGACCATAGCTATGCCCTTGATGTGGTACTGGAAAACTACTATAAAACTCAACCTCTCAACTTATTAGGTATGACAATTTACACCACTGTCATTCTAAATTTCACTTAATAATGACACGTATTTTTGCCTTTTCTGTCAGGGGAGCTACAGTTTGCCTTTGTGTGTTTCCTGATTGGTAATGTCTATGAGGGATTTGAACACTGGAAAAGACTGTTGGCTCTACTGTGTCGCTCAGAGGACGCCATGAGAAAACATAAAGATTTGTATTTAGGACTCATCGCTGTGCTGTACCACCAGCTTGGAGAAATCCCACCTGACTTCTTTGTTGACATTGTGTCCCAGAATAATTTCCTCACATCAACTCTGCAGGTACTAAATAATATAAATGTTAAACACTTAATACTTAGTACTTAATACATTATTATGGTTTTGAGTTCGTAAGAGATTATACTAAGTGACAAAATGGTCTATAAAATAAAAGTATAACTCCTTGGACTTGGAAATGTAGCACCTTTGATGTACATCTTCTCTGCTTATTGTTTGTTCTCTCACTCAGGACTTCTTCCAGTTTGCTTCTGGACCTGGAATGGACAGCACGCTGCGTAAAAGAGCAGAGAAGTTCAAAGCTCATTTGACCAAAAAGTTCCGATGGGACTTTGACGCTGACCTGGATGACTGTGCTCCTGTCGTAGTAGAGTTGCCTGAGGGATTCACTGTTAACTAAAAGACATTACATTATTTTTATAGTGGAAATGTGAAAAGGAGGATTCACTTTCTATTCACAACACTGAGTTCTGAGAGCACATCTTGCCCTTTGATACTGGTGATGAACTTGCAGCATTTGTTATATGAAAATACATCTCTCTTTTTTAAAACTGTATTCAATATATTTGATGTATTTTGCACTTATAGTAAAAATCTGATTGCTCACGAGAATTAATTTGGATTCTTTATATGTATATCTTTTTAAGATGGTATTCTTAATCACAAGTGTTTCAGAGAATGCATTTTCCCATATACATTTTGACATGACCATTAGATGGCGACAGCGAGCCGTGACGCAGCACTTGCATTTCTGCTGCAGCTGAGCAATGTTTTAACAATTTTAAGTGTTGCTACTAGAAGGAACTGTGATAGATTTTTTTTTTTTTTTTTCACACAAGCCTTTCTTCTGACAAATCACCCAAAAACATTTCAGTACAACAGCTGGAGGCAGGAAGCTCACAAAAGCATAACAAAGTCACATGTTTTCTGAGCAGAGAGTGTGTAATCGCCATGACAGTGATGGATGGACCAGCCCTTGCTATTGTCGTCTGCTCCGTCAGTAGATTTGATTCATTTATTTTTCAAGCATTCATCTTTCCAGCTCGACTTTGTGACTGGAACTCCTATCTTATAGAGACTGGAGAGCCTGAGAAAAGAAAGAATGCTTCTAATATAATAAAATCATCAAATACATTAATCTTCACAGATCTAATAATAATAACACAAGTTTAAAAGTATCACTTTCTGTGCTGTTGAATTCTTGTCTGAAACTAAGCAGACCTGGTTAGTACTTGGATGGGATACTCCTCAAGTGTGATAGTGGGTAAGCAGTTGTTTTAGTAAATTCTGTTGTGTTCCTAGGCAAGACACTGCACCCACCTTGCATGAGTATGTGATCGGTTGTGTTCTGTCAGTCTACAACAGTGCAACTATGGCTACAGTAGTATTACCTCCATCTTACCATCTTACCACCATCCTGACCCAGTATGGAATAAATGCATGAAATTCTAAAGCATCTGGAAAAGCACGATTTAAGACTAATGCATTAGTATTGTAACTGCTTTTGACAAAAGTATCTTTTAAGAAAGCACAGTTTTGCCCAAAGTTTGATTTAACGTGTAATGTTAATCTAATGAAAATTAGCCTATATGTAGGTTTAGAAAGGCTTACTTAATCAGATGAAGAAAAGGGCTTGAGGCTGGTTTAGTTAGTAAAGTACTTTGACATTTCACCAAGTTTACAACAGAGTTCTTTTCTCTTGAAACAGATTCTCTTGTGAAAAAGCGTGGTAATACTGGGCTTCATACAGAGAGCTCTTTTTAAAGACGTCCTCTGATCTTAAGAGAAGATCAATGCAGTTTGTGGTTGACTCTGGGACCACAGGGACCCAGCACTGGTTTGTTCTTTTGCCTTTGAATGCACTGAGAGGGGGAGAGAGTGGCTTGGAACGCATGGTGGAAACATATCAGTGGGACCTAGCAGGAAATGTACCCCAATTCTGTGGAGACACTGGAGATGATCTGGGATGAAGAAGTGTATGCTGTGAACGAAAGGTTGCTTGGTTTTGGACCCCTGTTTAGCAATGAAATTTGTGGTAAACTAAGTACAAATCAGCTGTTAGGAACTGATAATATGACTCACCAATAATTCTTAATCTCAACATTTTGCATTTCAAAAAAAGAAGGAAAAAAACTAAAAATCTTCCTCCACCTGTATATAAGGTCAATGACAGGACTAAATATGGGCACTTGGCACTAAACTTACCTTCTTTACCAGGACCAGAAAAAATATCAGATTAACTAGGATTAAATCATTTAGTGTATTGACTTGAACTGCAAGATACCAACTACCAATAGCCTTGTTTTTTACCTTATTGGCCCATATAGCTGTGTGTAAAACTATTCCCCCAAAACCTCTGACCCTCACTGTTCTCTCTTGTCATATTTCTAGTACGGTCACCTCTTTTTGTTCACTTTGGCGTAGAGCTGCTTTTGCATGCTGGGAAACTGACCGCATCAACAGTGCAAATCCTGAGGCCTTGCAGTTACCCTGTCAGTCATGGCGTGGCCTCATGATCTTATTATACTTCCATATGTGGTGTAAGCTGCTGTCCATAAGCATTGAGCTGCCAGTGCTAACACAAGCCTCTCTATTCTGTCCCAGTCCATCTCCAACTCGCCTCCTGAGCTCACGATGGCTGATGGCTGTGTGCGTATGAAGGAGGGAGCAGACATCTTGACCTGGCCCTGTGATGACTGTGGTTTATATTAAACACTGCTGACTGAGCAAATCTCATCTTTGATAAGAGGGGGATCTTAATTATTAATAGGTCAATGTCTGCAGATGAGGAATATCTTATATATTAGTATAGTTATCAAAGAGACTGTCTGAACACCAGACAAGAGGTACTTTTTTGTAATTCAGAAAACTCAGTTTCCAGCATTTGGAAATAACTGCTTTTCATTTTTGTACAGATTAATAATTATGAGCAGAAACATAAATTGATGAAATCACTAAGTCTTAAAGCAAATGACATTTTAAAGGTCCTTTACCATGTTAGCCATGTTATATGTTGTTACACCATCTGTTTTTTTTTTTCATTCACCCATGTTTGATGTTTTCTGATGAAACATACCTGGAGTTGTGTTATTATAACATAGATCATAAAGTAGCATAATATGGGCCCTTTAAGGATTATAAACATCTTTTCAATGCTGTCATATTGTGGACGCCTCACTTGGCGCCAGTATTTGTAGCTACATACTGAATAGACTCTGGAAATGTCAATATCCCTGGCCAGAGCACTAGAGCCATTACTGTGCACAGCCTGGCCAGCAAAGGTCAGTAAATGTCTCTTGCTGATTGCTCTATTCTTCTGTTGCTATGGACTGGTTTTAACACCCCTGTTTTCACATGTCTGACCCATGTGACCCCAATGTTAGACTGACACGTGCTCTCACCCCCGACATGAATATAGCTGCTGAGATCTGCTGGACCAGGGTATTAAAAGCCTGTATGCATGAGATTAAAATCCCTTTTGGAAACTCCGTCCCCAGCAGTGACGAGTGAGCATGTGCGAACAGTACTTTGTGTTATAGTGATCTGTTTCTGTGATTAGCGCAGGGGCTAAAAACAAAGCGTCAAGAGCTCTGAGGCCTGTTTCTGTCAGTGGCAAAGTGTCTGTCTTTCAAATCATGTACAACACAAGCCCCCAAACAGCTGGCCAATAAATTTGCTCTTACCGCCTGAGAGGGTCGAGGTTTCACTATAGCGATTGTTAGCAACACAACATTTCACTGAAGACATGTCTGCTCGTCTTGTCACAGAGGTAATAAAAGTGTCCACACCTCTGCGATAGATCTTCCTTGAAAGCTAAACTAACATTTGATATTTCATTTTGGCTTAGATAAACCACAGCAAAGACTCATTTCCATTGAACTCCCAGGCCCCAGTCTATCAGATCCCTATCACCCACCTGCCCGTAGATGACTGATCTCTGACTTCCATTTTTAGTGAATATGTGTGTTGTCTTTGGCTGTAGACAGAGAGCTCATGAACTCTGGCAGACCTTGTAGAGGCAGAACGGATTTGAATATCCATGCACCCTGAATACACACAGTCTGAAAAGGCTAATCGGCCTCCTTGATCATGACTGAGTGAAGTTTTTGGAGTTTTTTTGAAAGCAGGGCCCTCTCTGCCTCACACCCAGGGGAGCACAGCTGAATGGAGAGGAAGGGCCAGAGAGGAGCCTGATTGAGCGGCTATATAAAAACCCTCATCTGTCAATGTTTTCTATCAGCTATTCAGGCTATTCCTGATGTGCTTTCCGGCTCACTTCAATTGTCCCTATTTTTATTCTCGCCGTCCTCACTTCCCACCACTCGCACAAAGCCGTCCAGTGTTTGAATAATGCAACGATTCTCGATTTATTATTCTGGCATTTCCCACAAACCCACTGCTGTTGTCTGTTATTGTCTGAGTTCAAAATATTACCCAAATGTGACATAACTGAGCAAAATTGGGAATAGATTTGACTTTTACAGCATAAGAGCTCATACACTGGGTATATCTGTCATTCGGAAATACTAACTTTTCATAGAATTTGCCTTATTTATAATTCTTTAAAGGTCACAATATTACACAAAATTAACTCTTGCCATGTTGTTACCTCATCAGAACCATACCTGGAGTTGTGTTTTGTTTCATTCACACATGTTTGAGTAATCTTTTTTATTAGTCTGTCTACATCCACCTTGTGATGTCATGAAGCAGTAGTTTTCAAATTAATGGCTCCTTTTACTTTTAGTTCTGTAGATTGGCAATTTGAGGTCTGAAATTATCCAAATGATTCTAATGAAGTTGCATAGAGCCGTAGAGTTATAGAGTGGAGCAATTCAATCCTTGTGTCATTCATTTATTTTTTTTTTAAATAAAGCCAAAAATAAGAAAATGAAAAAACAACTATTTTCTTCATTATTTGTCTCCAAAACCAAAATGAAAAAAATGGATAATGACTTGTTTCCTTGGCTTTAAACTGCGATGCTGAACCAGGACTGAACCAGGACTAAAACAGGACTAAAACAGGTCTAAACCAGGTCTAATCCAGGACTGAACCAGGACTAAATGAGGATTATACATCCTTTACACATTATATATATATATATATATATATATATATACATTATATATTTTTGAAAAAACAAATGAAATTTATGATACACGGATTCAATTCCTGTATTACCACTTCCTGTATTACCACATGGCATCATAAGTTGGAACAGCGTTTCTAGTGTGAGAAAAGACAACATTAACAACATTATAACTTCAGAATCATCAGAAAATAGCATATGGCCTTTTTGGTTGAGGCTCTGCCACCTGCTTGTCTACATTGAGTTGTTATTTTGTTTCCTGGAAAATTTCACACCATGGGGTCTTACATTCTTATTGTGAGTAGGATGTCCCTTTCACAGATCTGACTTGTAATTTGGTCAGGTGGCACTGTCTCTCTCCATCTAGATAGATGAGTTAACATTCCAGATGAAGTTACATCTCAATGGCATGGAGAGAAGAAGGTGACGGACCCTCCATTAGATAACCATTTGCAACCCAAACAAAAGAACAATCTATAACTGTTGTTCTCAAACTTTTCATGCCACAGTTTGAGAAAGACT